AGGAGTTTTTATTGTGTTTTCTGTTTGCTAGATTGTGTTCTGGATGTCCTCTGTCTGCCTGCCAGTACTACATGGTGGCTGTTATAATCTTTACACTAAAGGTTATTCCTGTTCACTTCTCCCCTTGGGCTACTGAGGTTTTTGGTTAGTTAACATGTTTTGGATGGTTTTGGTTGGTTTGTATGGTATGTGATGCCATGTGGTTGTAATAATCTGTTGGTTGTTTCTGAGATATTATTGAAGTATGGCAGTATTATCCTTCTCATAGTTTATGTTTGTTGTGCTGTAGTGAATTGAGTAGTCAGGACTTTATGATAAAGTTGCATAGGTGCCCATTTTGTTGGAAGATGTATAGATGGTATGTTCCCTTTTTCTGGTGTTGCAGGTTGCTGCAGTGCATTAGTGCTCACCTGAATAATGTTTTTACACAGCTTCTCTTGTGGATACTTACTTGTGTTGTTACTTTGGTAATGGAGCAATTAATGTGAATTATTTTTCAATGGATTTCCATTTTTAATATATCTTCTATTAGAAAACCCCCAAATACCTCAAACACTGATAATACAATGCATATCTAGACATTTCCCAGCAAGGAAGAACAAGATACTGTTGTCAAGTCCCAAAGTCTTGTTGCAAAAAATCAGGTCTTTATTTCCTTTTGAAAATTGTGGGGGTCAATCTAATCTGCCAGAATGATGTTCCAGAGATGGTGGGGCAGCAGCTGAGAAAGCCTTACTTCATGAACCCTATTGATAACAATATGTGAAGGGGCCTGGAGAAAATCTTTTTATTTATTTATTCATTTTTATTTATTTATTTGATTTGTCAATCGCTTACAAGATAATAGGTATAAGTATATACATAGTTATGAACACATGAAATGGGTACATATAAGAAAAATAAAAGAAACAATAGGACAGGGATGGTAGGCACATTGGTGCGCTTATGCACTCCCCCTACAGACCTCTTAGGAAAGGGGTGAGGTCAATAGTAGACAGTCTAAGGTTAAAGTTTTTGGGGTTTGGGGAAGAAACCACAGAGTCAGGTAGAGTATTCCAGACATTGACCACTCTGTTGCTGAAGTCATATTTCCTGCAATCAAGTTTGGTGTGGTTAACCTTGAGTTTGTATCTGTTGTGTGCTCTTGTGTTGTTATGGTTGAAGCTGAAGTTATTCATTGACAGGTAAGTCATTGCAATGTATAATTTTATATACCATACTTAGATCAGATCGAAGACGGCGTAATTTAAGGTTTTCTAGGTCTAGAATTTCAAGTCTGGTGGCATAAGGTATTCTACAATGAGTAGAGGAGTGGAAAACTCTTCTTATTAAATATTTCTGGACTTTCTCAACTGTGCTAATATCAGATATGTAATGTGGTTTCCAGACTGATGAGCTGTATTCGAGTATTGGTCTAGCAAATTTTTAGCTATGTAGTTACAGTGGGTTCTAGCATTTAGATCATCAGAGATGAATATTCCAAGGTCCTTTACAGAGCTTGGATCATCAACAAGGTCTTGACTATTCAGCTTGTATTTTATTTTCTGATTTTTTTTTGCCAATATGTAGGACAGATCATTTATTTGTTGAGATTTGAAGTTGCAATTTGTTTAACCATTCTGATACATAGTCAATATCTTTTTGAAGGGTAGCAGTATTGTCTGTGGTATTGAACAGCTTTACACCATCAGTGAAGAGAACGCAGTTGCTCTTAATATGATCACAGAGGTCATTTATGTAGAGTATGAAGAGAGTTGGTCCTAGAAGACTGCCTTGGGGGACACCACTGTTGACAGGTACAGAATTTGATAGGACACTCCCAATTGTGACCATTTGTTGTCTGTTTGACAGGAATGCTTCTATCCAGTTACGCAGTTGTCCAGAGATACCATAAGATTTTAGTTTTCTTCCTGATCTTAGTGGGCAGGCATCAATCACTGGGACTAGATAGTCCCGAAGATATCCAGTTGATGTATAACTTCCCAGGCTGAAGTAGAGACGTTTTGGAAGTTCTAAGACTGTAAGGGTCTGGAATGGTACAAACCAGCTCAAACAAACTCTTAGAAAGGTTGATTTACTGCCTATCTGGAAACTAACCTAGAGGCAGTTCCAAGGTTAGCTGTAGATAGGGTCACCTTCCACATGAAGAAACAAGTCTGCAACTTGGAGTCTTCTTAAACTCATGCATTCTCTGAAAAATAGAATCCATGGCCTTCACTCAGCTGAGAGCAATTTGCCAGTTTATAATCCTACTTGGACCAAGAAACCCTGGTAACAGTAATTCCTACCTTCATCATTATGTGACTTGATTACAGGAAATTTCCCATTTATCAACCACAACTGGATTGGCAACTCGACTTTGAGTGACTCTGCTTATGATCTTACTGTACTTCAGGCTTCCTTTGCTTTACGATCCTGCAAATGTTGTAAATGTGAGAACTATTACAAGTTACTTTGTAATTACCATTGTAATTGTGAACAGTTTCTCTACAAGGAACTTGCTAAACAAGGACTACCTGTAATGTCAAATACAATATAAATAACTGCCTTTGAAAGTGGTCCAGAAATTTCTGTTGGTATAAAATGTGGCCAGGATGAGTTTCATTATTGCAACATGACATCTATTTTTTGTATCCATTTTAGAATTCCATTCAAAGCACTTTATGGCTTCACTCCAGGATAATTTAGGGGCTATTACTCAAGTTAAAACCTGCTCACCCAAGGCAAGGGACATTCAAGGTGAAGTCCCTGAAAGAAATCAGGGGACACAGACCTAAAGGTCTTATTTCTCTTGAATGAACCCCATCCTTTTAGCATTCTTTGCCCTTGTTAGTGATTTGTTTTTGTAAGACTATTAAAACAATGTTACTTCATTTTTGAGGTTGATTGTCATAAGGCTTTGTGATTTTTATGACTAGAATGGTTTATTTGTTGGTAGTAATTGTTTTGATATAGTGTATTGTGTTGATTTATCTGTTTAGTTTTAATCATATTGTCAACAGTGAAGGTTGACATATTATACTTGTAAAAAAACAAATAGAGGGAACATTATTCAGTTTACATAAATTTATATAATTTTTACATAAGTATGATTTTGGAACTTTATTAGTAAAATCATGTTCTTGGTATCTGGGAAGCAGCTATGTCAACAGAAACATAATGTGCAAGCGTTCCACAGCACTACTTACGTTTTTAAAATTAGGCAACCAATTCTAATCACATAGTTCATATCAAGTTTTTTTTTCATCTAAAACAATGATAGGTTCCCATACTCGTATGACTAAAGTGAAGTTTAAGCATAATCTGACTGGAAAATTAATCAAATACTATACCTTATCTTCTGTATATAATAGAACAGTACTCTCATGATGTAAATATACTGATTATGTCACTTATTTCTTGTCATTTTATTTTATTGCCCCCATGTTTAAATGTAGAAAGATATTTCTGAAATCTTGTATCATGCATGGAACCTGAGAATGTAAACAAACAGTACCATATATTGACCTGAACAAGTGCAATGCTCTTGGAAAGCTGAAAGTACAGGACAACATAGAGCAAATACCTGTGTATGATGATGCAGGGTTGTTAGAACCTTTAGTTTCTTGTTCTGTTGCTTGCCATATTTTCATATATTCCATCAATTCCCATAGCCTTCTCATTGAGGAACGAGTGGAGTGCTGATCTAATTTCATCCTCTAGCATTAGATATTCACGTAAATAGGACATGTCTTCTAGGGTATCTTGGATGTTAACATCTCTAATATATACAATTTCACTACACTCCTTTAGTCCTTGATTGATCTTCCTTGAATCAGGTAGTTCTCAACATAAGACTGGAATGGAGCCTGGAATAAATAATGAAGGTTGTAAATCTTAACTCAAGGCACCGTGACCAGACCTAATTAAAAAAATTTTTTTTACAGCAACTGTTAAGCAAATATGGCAGTCATTAAGTGAACCCAGCAGTCATTAAACAAATCCATGTATTCCTACAGGTTTTTTTTTCTGAAAATAGGAAAAATATTGTAAATTGCAGTAACTTGATCGTGGAAAGCTGCAACCGGCAGTAAAGGTGAGCTAGTTGCCATTCATCTGATATATAGTCATGTGACCACAAGGCACATTCAGCTGTCAGATCTTTGGAATTTGTAAATAGCAGGGGAGGTCTGTTGTAACTTTAAATGGTTGTTATGTGACCAGTCATTAAGCAAATCACCTATCTCATCTTTTCTTTAAAATGTCTGTTTGTTCTGACATCTAGTTTGCTTTCTTCTGTTTCTTCATCTTTCATGGTTTCTCTTTCACATTTATCCTTAACATCCTCTTTAAACTTATTTGTAGTTTCTCTGCTTCCCAATCAATGAGGTTCAGGACTTCCTGATATTCTCCTTGCAAATGAATATATATAGTGAAGATCATGCCATGGAAATTGGTCGCTGTCTTGGAACTTTCATGATTTATGATCTGTTCCACAGTCAGTCCCTGGCCATGTTTTTACTTTTATATATAACTGAACTCTTCCATCTCATTCTCCCAAATAATATGGCCAATTACAGTAATATATTAATTCCACTTTTGTAATAGACAAACTTTAAGGATGTTCCCTGAATGAACTGATTTAAGGTCAAGGTGTGGAAGGAACTAGCCTTTTTATTTTTCTTCAGAGGACCACGGGGTGCCGGTTGCGTGTGCATACTTACAGGCATTGACATTAAGTAAACGCTCCCCACCCCGACAAAAAGTACCAGCCCGCCCTTTTTCTTTCGAATGAATTCGGCTCTTCTGTCCCAGGAGAAGCGAGAAACGGAGTCGGCCCATTTACAATAAAGGGAGGCGAAAGTTGGCGGTGAGCAAGGAAGGTTAGCATGCGGGTAGAAGAGAAGGAGGAGGAGTTAATGGCTCGGACGCCTTGTTGCTATGGGGAGACAGAGGGAGGAGGTGGCTCCGCCGCTGCTGTTGCTGCTTCGCAGGGCAAGGAAAGCCAGAGGCGGCGACGCTGCTGTTCTGTGACACATTTCCCATATTGCTGCTACTGCTGCCATTTTGTGCCCCCATCCTCTCCCCCCCCATACGCCTGCTTCATGAGTACAGTGAGTTGGAATATTTCCTTTATTAACTATTTCTGGGGAAAGTGGGCGGGAATCAAATATCATTTCTTTCATTTCCCCACTCCCCAAATCTGGGATTTTCTGTTCTTTCCATTTATTTTAACTTCCAAATCCTTAAAAATGCTAAGTTTTAGCTAGTCTCTTTCTCTCTCTTTTCCTTTTCCCTCCTTTTTTTTTTTTTTTTACAAAAAATATATTTCCAGATGTGGGGCTAAGATGTGTCGGAGGAAGACGCCGTCTGAGCTTTTCATCCCTCGGTTGCACAATGTGAGCTGGGTAACGCGGAGGCTTAAATTGCGCCGCTGGCGTGCTTGCGTGTCTCCGCGCGCTCCGGCTAAAGATTTAATTCGGACAAGGGGTGGAATCGAGCAAAGGCTACAAATGGAGGTGGGGGAGCCCGTGTGTCGAAGATCTGTGTAAATTGGAGTTTGTACCTCCGGAGGCTCTATTTGCCCATCTGAGAGGGAAAAACATTTGCATGGCCAAGCCAGAGCTTTGTGGCCTCTTTGCTGGGGGGGGGGGGGGG